TGTTTCATTTATTGTTCACAGGTTTTTCTTGCATGGGTTTATTTTTCAAGAAATACATGTATTTTTTTTTTCTTAAACCATTTTAGAGTAGTTATGGACATCAATGACATTTTACCCCTAAATACTTCAGTATTTATCCTCTTAACAACAAAAACATTCTTAGTGTCACAGAAATATAACAGTGAGTTACTCAAATTCTTTTTTTGGTACTGAGGATCAAACTCAGGTCCTTGTGCTTATGAGGCAGGTGGCAGAATCACTGAGCTAAACCCCTGGCCCTAAGAAATATAACACTGAATGTAATATCTAATACTCCAATTTCTCCATTTGTCTCTCACATACCTTATGTAAATCCAGGGTTGCATAATGATTTCACATTATATGTGGTTGTGATATCCACATGCTGTTTAGTCTCTTGCAATCTGGAGTAGTCTGTATCTTTCATCTCTTTTTGACATTGAAGTTTAAAAAGAAAATATGATAGTTTCTTGTAGAATCGCTAACAGTTTTGATCCATGTAATTACTTTCTTATGATTATAGTTAGGTTAAACATTTCTTTTGGCCAAAATGTCATACAGTGGAGCATTTCATGCTTTCCTTTGTGTCATATTGAGGGCAGTTTATGTTGGTTTGTGCCATTATTGGTGGTACTAAATTTGATCACCTGGTTAAAGTACCTTTCTTAATAAGGATACCTTTTACCCAACAATTTTAGCTTCCATTGATGAACTCAACTCATATCAGTTTCTGAATTGATGATTTCAGATCCTTGCTTTGGGTGTTTGTGGTGGGCTTACTGGGGACTGAAACTGGGGACTTTGTAGTGACCTATATCCCTAGCCCTTTCATTTATTTATTTTGAGGCATGTTCTTGCTTAGTTACCTAGTCTGGGCTTAAACTTGTGATCCTCCTGACTCAGCCTCCCAGATTTCTGGGATTATAGGCATATACTACTATAACCAGCTCAGATCCTCACTTTTTTTTTTTGAGACAGAGTCTGACTTTGTAATTCAGGCTAGCCTTAAATTCAATATGTAGCCCAGGCTAGCCTCAACTTCTTGCCTTGGCCTCCAGAGTGCTGGGATTATAGGCGTGCACCCCCCCACCCCCGCATATATCCTCTCATTTTTGACTGAATTAATCATGATCCACCCTGTGAACCAAGAGCATCCCCCATCCCATTTTCCTAGTGAAACACAGTATGTAAGTTTCAGTAAATAGTGGGTGAATTGCTTCTGCATTGGTTGCTTACTTAATTTATGGAACTAATATGCGTTCCTGAGGCAGATTCTCCTTATATCCATAGCTGTATACTGGAAACATGTAGCTGAGCTTCATTCCTTGTTAATAATTATTTTTGCTTTTTGCTATTAGTGTGGACGACTTGGCTCTAAGCATATATCCGCCTGTGTGTCATCTGACTGTGCGAATCAATGTAAGTACCAACTCTAAGGGAATAGTTATAGAGCCAATTAGTAGAATTTCACTCATCATTAACATTTCCTCTAAGCTACAGGGCATGTGTTTATTTCCACACTTGGATGCAAGCACAATTGTAGTGTCACAGTTCTTGCATGTATTTGTGCATGATGAACATTTGCTGGAGTGAGATTATTACAGCCTTGAACTTTGGTAGTTCTCTCTTCCATAATCATTTGATCATTTGGAAAAGTCCAAAGATCTAGGAAATGCTGCTTTGAAAGGAAAATTTTAATTACACAGTGCTTTAGGAACCTCTGAGCCTGCAGGCACAAGTGTCTAATTTGTAGTATAGGCAGAAATAAGTTCCAGGAAGACACTGCTAGGACACAAACACATTGTATCACTTCACCTACAACTTCAAGCTCTTTACCAAGTTCTGTTGCAGTTTTTCAAGTGTTGAGCCCTGTACTAGAGTTCAGTTCTCTTATTTTTTTAAAACCCAGTTCTTATCTTTGATGCTGTCGGAAGAAGTCAAATTGCTAAATGGCGTATATTTTACACTGTAATGCGCCACTTCTGATATTTGTTAAATTAGGTTGTAGAAATTAGATTCATTAAATGTATCATGATGTGCAAACACTGTGAAGTAGAATAGGATTCTTTTTGAGTGTTAACCTCTTTTTTCTTTGGCATTGACTTTTTTTTTGGTACTGGAGATCAAACTCGGGTCCTTGCACTTGCAAGGCAGGTGCAACCACTGAGCTAAATCCCTGGCCCTGGCATTATCTTTGTAAAACTTGACTCTTAAGAAATAAATGTCTCTAGCCAGATGCCTTGTCAGTTTTCCTAAGTGTGATAGCTAATATAGAAAGTTATACATATATAAAATACACACATCTATGTAATTTTCCCTTTTTTTAGGGGGTGTTGGGGATTGAACCCAAGGCCTCACATATACTAAGCATACATTCTATCACTGAGCTACCCTCCCAGCCCCCATGTTTTCTTGATATTCTTAAAAAATTTTTTTGTTTTTGGAATACAGGGTCTTGCTCTGCAATCTTTGAGCTCACTATGTAGCTCGGGCTGGCCTCAAACTCTCAGCAATCTGCCTGTCTCAGCCTCCCAAGTGCTGGGATTACAGACGTGTGCCACCAGGCCCGGCTCTGTAATTCTCTTTAATACAAAAAAGAGATATTAGTTATCTCTGTTGTATATTCTGAGCTCTTGGGCAGTTGGGATGAACTCAGGTTACATTTCTTTTTTTGTTGTTTTAAAATTAGTAGTTTAAATTCCAAAAATTTATAAGAGTAAATAATTTATAAGCAGCAATATTAAAAAGATTTTTGATAAATACAAAATAATCTGGAGTTGAGGGTGGTAGTGTACACCAAGTAATCCTACTGCTCAGGAGGCTGAGGCAGGATGATGCCTTTGTGTTAAAGACTAGCCTGGGGTACATAGTTCCTGGCTCAAGCAAACAGAAAAAGAAAAAGAAGAAAGAAAGCTATAATCTTACCACCCTAACCTAAACAGCACTTTTGTTTTTGTATATTTTCTTCAAGATTCTCTTTTCAAAGGATTTTAAAAATTATTTGGGTCTTTACAAAATAGTTGAGCTCTTCTATCCTTTTGATGGCAGGGCTCAGAGTGAGTAGCTACTCTTTTCTTTTCTAGTCTGCGAAGCTTGTATCTGTTTTAAGGAAAGCACTGGAGGTTACAGAGTAAGTATGAAGACCCTTCCCTGAGGCTTGTTAAGAGTGACATTGTCTGCCTAGCCATGCTTAACTCCTTAGCTCCATTTGAAACAGTGGGAAAGAGTGGGTATGGTTTTTTTTTTCCAACTTCCATTTCTGCTTTGTCTTACTGTAGTTTTTCCTGTGCACCCTCCTGAGGGTAGGCTTTTCCTTGACAGTTTACTAAATTTAACTTAAAATTATTTTTTATTTGTGGCACCGAGTATTGAGATACATCCCCAGCCCTTTTTAATTTATATATATATATATATAATTTTTTTTTTCTTCTCTACCGGGGATTGTAGTCAAGACTTTGTGCCTGCTAAGCAGGTGCAGTACTACTGAGCTGAATCCCCGCCCCTTTAATTTAAATTTTTATTTTGAGACAGTCTGAGTTGCTAAATTGCCCAGGCTGTGCTCAAAACTTATATAAATGTTCATTTTTTGCAGAGCAAGTCATGTGACCCCTCAGCCAGAAGATAGTTGGATCCCTTTATTCATTAATGCTGTTGATCATTGCATGAACAGAATTAAGGAGCTTACACAGAGTGAAATTGATTTATGAGTTTCAGAGTCATTCGTATTCTCCTATCTTCCTCTCACTGTCGCATCCAGGTTCTGATTCTGCTTTTAAAATGGACCTAGCATACTTGCTAAGTGGAAAGAGTTCCTGTCTATATTTAGCAAGAGACTACTTTAGAGACTGTTAGGGCCAGATTGACAATTATTTATAAGTCATATGAGTGTGATATATTTTTCTCTGCTAGATATGAAAGATAATTGCATGAGTTTGTGTTCCTCAATTGCTTCAGAGATTCCTGAGGAAGTTACCCTATTTCTTACTCTATGTCATGTATTGTTTCATTGTTAAAGATGTTGATGGTCTCAATAAAATGCTAACCAGCTGCTAGCAATTCAGTGAGTAAGTACCTTTTCATTTTGGTTTGTTGATGTCAAGATCTGTATTTAGACTTATATTTAGAACAAAAACACTGGACTTGAATTTTTTCAGAGATGACCACAAGCCCCCCCCTTAGTACTTCAGCATGATATATATAGATATATCTATCTATCTGTGTGTGTGTATATGTATGTATATATATATATATTTTTTTTTTTTTTTTTTTTTTTTTTGTACTGGGGATCGAACTTGGGTCCTTGTGCTTGCGAGGCAGGTGCCAGAACCACTGAGCTGAGCTAAATCCCTGGCCCTAGCATGTTCTATATTATTTTCATCAGTAGGTCCTTCTGAATATTGTCTCAGATTCTTCAGCACCTCTAACATATATTGGTGTTGCACTCATTCGTTAGGTCTGTTCATGTTACTGAACAGATTAGTTTTCCTTATACCTATCTGAATTGTTCTCCATTATATAGTTACATGTGTCCCCAAATGTAAATACCACATTTTACTAAATAAAAAAAAATTTTAATGTGTGAAAGAGCTATATAATTTGAAGGGCCACCTTGGTATATTTCTTTTGCAAAATCATTGCCACTTAATTACATTTTTGCATCCATTGCATGTGGACCACATGTTGGAGAGTGGGGTAGCAGTGTAGACTGCTTACTGGAGTGGGGTCATGCACAGTGCAGTTGGTACCCACCCTGCTGACAGCAGGCCTCTTCCTCCACAGGTGCCAGACACCACATTTGTCCTTCTGATTTCTGTAGTCATAGTTGGCACAGAGTCATTCTTTTGAGTGACAAGTGTATATTTGTGGTTAAATTCCTTAAGCCAAATGAGTTTTGACCTTCTTTATTTATTTTTTTGGTACTGAGGATTGAACTTGGGACCTTGCACTTGCAAGGCAGGTGGCGGAACCACTGAGCTAAATCCCCGGCCCTTGACCTACTGTTGTTAAAGCACCATCCTGTGCTTTAAACAAATGTCATAAAGAGATAGAACTAAAATCAAACTAGTGGAATGCCAAAGCAACAGAGTAATGTAAACAACAATAACAAAAATTCTTGCTTTGTTAAAAAAAGAAAACTATTCTTTATCCTTTTGTATTGGACATGTATTCTGTATAGTTGATATTTGTATTTTCTGCTGGGGCCAGATTTATGTTACTAGCATCAGACACTAGTTGTGGGATCTTGAATGAACAGAGAACTCTAGTATAAGTTTGTCTGCAGCTAACTAGATCATTTTGCTTTCTGATCCTATGTTGTGTATTTTGTACCTTTGTTCAGTTATCTTTGAATCTTTAAGGATGTGTTCAGAGAGAGGACTAGTCACTGTAATGGCAGGATAATTTACAAGTTTCACTGTTAGCTAATATCCCACTTTATCAGAAATAGATGAATGCTTTAAATACTGTATTAGGCCTTATCTCTTCGAGTAGTTAAGGAACAAGAAAATGGTTGAAAAACCCTGAACCTGAGCAGTCTGTACTCTGACAAGGTACTCAGAAACTCTACATGTATTTTGAAAAGTTACTGTGTACCTTTCAAAAGCTTTTGTTGCTCAAGCCTTGTAGCTTTTATTCTAAGACAGCTAGTCCAGTGTCTGAGGTGACAGAAATGAGCATCATTATCTGGATTTTGGGGATCTAGCTTTGTTGTTGGTTACTCAACCTAAAGACTCATTTGTCCAATAAGCAAGGTTTCCTTCCCCATCGTGTGTTCAGTTTTGGGTTGTAGTTTTAAGAGTTGGTTTCAAGATTGTGGTGGAGCTAGAAGTTTAAGCCGAAAGCTCAGGGGCTACCACAGTGACACTTTTGTGGCCGGTTAGGTTCTGGAACATGTCGCAGTCCATTTCCACAGTGAGTCTGTGAAGCCCCAGCTGGGCTGGTGTGAACTGGAACCAGGTGCGCAAAGTTTCTCCAGGCCGCACTGGACTTAATCTACAGTAAAGGGAAAAGCAGGTGCTAATTTTGCCTGGGGTTCGTTGCTCTGCTGGTCCAAGTGATGCTGAGCCTTGCTCAAAGAGGTGGACCATGAGGAAATAAGCATCTAAAGTACACTGCTTCTAAGACAGGTGGTTACAAGGGGATGGAAGACAGGAGCCTCTCCATGCCGAGCTGCTATGTACATGGTTCAAACCAGAAGCCTCCCAGGGGCTGTATGTGCTGTTTCTTTTGTGATGTGTGGTTCAGTCTGGTTCAGTTCTCGGTAACAGCAGTGTGGATCCCTCACTGCTCTGCACAGTGGGTATGGTAGGCACACAGAGCCAGGCAGTGTGTCAGGAGGTGGGACCTGAAGCCCTATCAACTCTTGATATACACTGGACCTCCTTTTGGTGCTGGGGGAGTGGTACGGATTTCCTTTCGGGAGTTTTGCCCCACAACTGACCTAGACCACACAGATCTGATTAAATGTTGCAGTTCTCTTGTCTTGCTGGCAAGAGTGACTCCTAGAGATGAAACAGAGGCAGTGGCTCAGTATCCCAGCCATCTACCTGGGGCCATGGGGATGGTAAGAATAGGCATCTTGGAATCCAAATGGGGATGCTGTGACACCAAGTGGATATTTACAATATCTAGAACCAACAAGAGACTAATTACTTACAATGCATGGGGACTCCTACACCGCAACAAGAAAAGTGGCAAGAACATCAGAACAGTGGTGGGCAAAGATAAGGACAGACTATTGATGGGAGGAAATGGAAAAGGCTATCAAATATATAAAATGTGGCAAAGTAGAACATCAATAAGATATTCTTTTTTCTATTCGACCGGGAATAGAAAGGTGGGTATTGCCAGGAGTGGAAGACAGGTGGGAATGTAGAAACTCCTCCATTCCACTCCTGGGCAGATACACCCCTACCCCTACCCCTCCCGAGGTCCAAGAGGCCATGTAAGGAGTTGTGTACGAGGCTGCGGGTTCACTCCAGCATTGCTTGTGCTGTGAGAGGTCACAGTGGAGGGGTGCAGTGTGTATGGGGCGTGCGGGCTGTGGAGCACTGTGTAGGGCGTGGTGTGGGGTGGGTGCTATACGGTGTAGCAGAAGCAATGAACTCAACATGTGCACAACACGTAACAGTTCTGAGTGAGAGGAAACATGGGACGTGATTTGTTTAAATATAGGCTTAAGACACAGTACACACACTAATGAGAGGATGCCCATGCTGATAAGAGGGTATGAAGGGTGGTGTGGGGATGGGTGTAGGGAGTGGGAATAAAAGAATAAGCAGAACTGTGTATTGTGGTGGTGACTAGTAGAGTGCAGCTTGGCCCACACTGAGAAGCCTGTCCCCCTCTGGTCTCTGTGACATCTTTCTGAAATCTACTGGCAATGCTCTTGCCTCTCCCTGCATGACCAGGACAGTAACGGGTGAGGTGGGTGACTGAGGGGCTCACTTGGCTCCTCTCACCCATGCCCCTATGGACATGATGGTCCCAGAATGAGAGAGGCATTTGGTAGCCCTAACCCTTTCACTCAGCTACTGGGGATATTTCCAGGTACTCAGTGGGCATGGCAGAAAGATATTTTGGTTTGAAGTCATCAGTTGTAGCTCTCTGCCCTCTGCCCAGTTATGTGTCAGTGGGATGAGAAACTTGCAGTCACTTACCTGTATCTCCTCTCTCGGTGAATGAGCCCCTTTCCAAAGATGGAGACCTCACAGTCCTTCATAGGGAAGTCCAGGGAGTTATGGATCCTGACTGAGGCCCTGAGACATTGATGCTGCTTTGCTACTTCTGGCATCTGTATGAAAAGCCAGCACATGGAATGAAGCCAAGGGCACAGAGCCATAGTCACACCTTTCTGTGACCTTCACCCCCTTCCCTTCCCTCCTCACTTGCTCCACTCATCTCTGCCTTTCTGACCCAAGCTGCACAGCTGCCTTCTTCCCCTGCTTTCTGATCCTCCTGCATTCCCTCTCACCCTTGACCAGCACTGATGATCTGGGATGGTGCCTCTCCTGTGCTTAGAAACTTGGAGGGCTTCCCATTCCCTTTTGCAGTTCAGCTCAGGTTGCATTTGGGTCCTCCACTATCTGCCCCCCGGCCCACTTCTCCTGTCCCTGTGTTTGACTAAACATCCCACTCACACCAGGGACCTTCCTGTCCCCAGCACACCTCTCAGCTCCTTTCCTTTGCTTCTCTGCCTGTCTGCTTCTGCCTTTAGTGGTCCCTCCCTACTTGTGTACTGAAAGCATATCTGTTTTCCAAGGCCAAGCATAAATGTTACCTCCTTCGTGAAACTCCCCAAACCAGCAGCTGACCTTAATCTCCTTTATTTCACTTTTATCAAAGAGACTTTGTATCTCTGTTAAATCCTCACACAGAATGTCCAGTGGCATATCTCCCTTATTGTAACTTCCTTGAGGGCAAGAACAGGTAGATCTCTTTCATGTTGGCCACCGTAGTCTTGTGGAAAAAGAGCTGGACTAAGAGACAAGCTTTTAGACCTTCCTACTTTCACACTCTTGGCATATGGCTCTCTAGGACTCAGATTTCCTCATCTGACTTATGGAAATAGCTCTTCATAGGGATTTTGTTTGATTTCTCTATATTGATTGGGGATGGGCCAGGGATTTAGCTCAGTGGTTCCAGCACCTGCCTTGCAAGCACAAGGAGCTGAGTTTGATCCCTGGAACTCCCCCCACAAAAAATTATTGCCAGGTATGCGCTGCACAACTGAGCCATAGGCTTGTATTGAAATAAAAGAGGTGAAAATACTTTGGCATATGTATAAAATGCTAATAAGCACAAGCTGTGATTTTACCCCTATAAATGTGGAAGAAACAAGTGGGAAGGCCCCAATTTTAGGAAGCTTAACCGATTAAGAATTTCAAAGATTCATACTATAATTGTATGTGTAAGAACACATCTTTTTAAGAGAAGGAACTCTCAAGTCTAGCGCCATCTGGTGACTGCAGCATGATCATCTGCCCCGAAACTTGTGGGGAGCTGAGCAGCTTCAGTGAGCAATTCAGGGAAAGCCTGGTGCCTACCTCAACGATAAGGTGTGGTCTCCTAATGGCAACGTCCTCCTGAGCAAAGCAGCTCAGGCTGGAGGCAGAGTGCGTGGCCACTGAGGTGAGTCTGAGGCAGCTGTTCTCAGGCAGGTTTTGCTCAAAAGAGGAGAAGGACAGGCTGGTGGTTATTTTCTTAACTGAAACACACAATTGGTAATAGTTGGTGCAGAGCAGTGTGAGCCCCAGAAAACAACCCATAGCTCCACACTCAATGAAGAGAGTCAGGGTCTCACAGAAGCCTGAAAGATGCCTCATTCCCACAGCAACTGTAATTTGTAATCACTCAAGACCCCACCCTATCCGATCCCAACCTCCAGTCACTCTCAGCAGACCACAGTCCTGTGAGCTAGGATGGGGGCGCTCTCCAGGCCCCAGTTCTTGTAGCAGAGGCGTGGTTTGTGTTCAGTGAGACACAGGCATCTATCTATCTGTGTTGCCACTCGGCACTATGGAGATGAGGTGTCCCATGCTTTTTATTTTGTGTTTTGTCTTGGAAGTAGGGTCTTCCTTTGTAGTGCAGGCTGGCCTTAAACTCATGTGGCCCAGCCTAGCCTGAGAATCAACTGATCCTCCTACCTCAGCCTCCTGAGTACTTGGATTACAGGTATGTGCCACCATACCATTCCCTGTCTCAATGCACAACTGACTAGCTATGTAACCCCTTGAAACCTCGATCTCCTCATCTGGAAAATGGGAGTGGTAATGGCTCCCAACTTGTGAGGCTGTTGTGGAGAGATAGCTGAATCATGTCTGTAATGCACTCGGCACTATTTTTGGCAAATAGTGCTCAGTAAACATAAACTGTAATCACTCCATTGTCTCTTATTTTCTTAGGAATTGTACCATTACAATCTGTCTCTTTTGAATCTCTGTTTTTCCCTCTGTGCTATTCCTCGGTCTGTGAGACACAGCTCTCTTATCTCAACGTCCCCCCCCCAAAAAACAAATACCGCTGCCACCCTGCTATGCCGTGTTCTGGCCACAGCCCCACCAGTCCTCATTGCGTCTCCCGGAAGGACTGCACAGCTTGCCCCACCTCCTGGACTCCAACAGTTTAACCCCAGAAGTCACCTTCAACACCAACTGTCAGCCAGACTGCTCTCCCAATGGATGCAGTTCAGCCCGGACCTCTCCTGACCTCTCTGCCTACCTTCCTGGGTGTCCCTCTCCTCTTAAACTCTTAGTCTCCCTTATGTTCTCCCATCAAGACCTAGCATGGTGCAAGTCCCCTGGGAGCAGCCTGCACCTACCCAGGGAGATTGTGCCTTGCCCCTGTACTCTGTTCCCCTGCTCTGATGATTCCTCACTGTAATCGTGGGTTTGTTTGCTGATCTGACTGCATCTGGGATTGTGGGGGTTCTCCCCGTGTCAGCCCCAGTAATATGTATTAAGTGACTGAACGATAAAGAATGAGAACCGAGGTCTAAGAGCCACCTGTTGAGACCTATGGGCGGTGCTCAGGGTGCAGCCAGGTGTATGGGATGTCTGGGGGCCAAAGAGAATTACCCTGGTTGGCACTGAGCCTCAAGGACAGTTTCTTCCTCCAGAGGTCAGTGGCATGGACTCCATTGTAGTACACTGCCTGGGCCCCAATCACCAGCTGCACCATCTTCTCCTGGTCACCGGGGTTATTCAGGGTCACTGAGAGCTGGGCGTCCCCTCCCAGGGGGAGGAAGCGGGGCGCTTCCAAGAACAGGTACAGTGGATCATCCAGTTCACAACTCGGGGGATAGATGCTGCTGTGTTTCTTGTGCCTCAGCCTCTCTTTCTGGACTCTCTCTAGTACCTCTTTCTCTTGAAGAGATCCTGGTTAATGGAAGAGATAAAGCAGTCAGGTATATACAGATAAGCTGTCAGGTATATACTCTTCTATTAACAGCCCAGGGTTAAAGAGGGGAGGGAAGGGGGGGAAAAAAAGAAGAACCAAGATATGGCATGTACAGGTACAAATTCCATGCGATGAATGTTATCATTAGTATATCTAAAGTATACCAGTGAAATTAATTTTAAATACTTTTTAAAACTTAAAATTGAAAACCTTAAAGTTGTGCCAACTTCTCAGATGCCAAAGACACAAAAACTTTGCAAACCTCCAAGGCCATACCTGGCCCCCTAAAGCCTGTTAGGCAGCCTCCCTCCCACAGAAAGTATGCCTCTGCCAAACTCTTCAAGTATCGTGAAAGGGGAGAGCAGGCTTTGCAACAAGTCAATGACATCTGTGAGGACAGTTTAACAGGGAACTGAATCTTCCTGTGAAGGAATTCAGACTTTCCTCAAAGGCAAGGGAGGCCACGGAATATCCTGGAGTGTGAATGTGTGTGAGTTAGCAAAATGACATTTGTGTCTTAGCACATTCTGGGAACTCAAAACTGGTGAGAGATGAGGCGGGGGGTTCGGTTGCTGTCTTGTAGACCAGAGGTGATAAGGCCCTGGCTTAGCTCTAGGCAGTGGGAAAGGACTCAGGAGACTGAGGTGAGGGTAGATCATGGTAGTGAAAGGGGAAGACTCCAGGATGTGGAAGTCTTCTGGTTTGGACAGATAGGTGAAGAGCAGTGATATAAACTCAATGAAAGAAGAACTAGGGGTTACTGGAGAAGGGGAAAGGACAACAATCAAGTTTTCTGGGAGCTGTGCTTTGCATGGAGTGCAGTATTTTATCGCAGTGGTTTTCAACTGGGAGCAATTTTGCCCACTCTCCCAGGCCATTTAGAAATGTCTGAAGACACTGTTGCTCGTTACAACTGGTGAGTGTAGGGGAGAGTGGTGCCTCATGGACAGAAGCCTGCCATGCTAAATCTCCTAGGATGCTTGGCCCTCTACAACAAAGAAATATCTGGTCCAAAACATCAGTAGTGTCAGCAGGGGTTGAGAAACCACGTTTATGTGACAGAAAAGGACTGGAGCTCTTCCCAGCCTTCATCTATCTGAGCCATCCCTGCTCATCTGCTGTTCCAGGTGCAGAGACTCCTGGGGCCCCTCCTGGACCCATACCTGCAGGGTACTTGTAGTTCTGAGTGATGTCCTCACAGCGGTTGCTGCCCACAACCTTGGTGCTGATGTTGTTGCCAACATACTTGGTGTTGAAGTTGGTCAGCTCCAGTTTCCCATCCTCACAGCACTTCCAGACCACACACGAGGCATTGACCGACGCATAAAGGTCTGCCACTGCAGGCATCAGCTCCAGTGCCCCCTCCTTGACTGCTCTGACTGGGACCAGATCACAGGCTCCCAAGACTGAGGGGGAGAGAGGAGAATGAGCAAGGGGGCCACTCCAGATCTCTGCCTGTCATGGAACACAGCACATCTGTCCCTACTCTACTGTTTTCCCTTGGCCAGGATCAAGGTCAGAGCTGGGCCCTGGGAGGGGTCACTGAGAGGTGAGCGCAGCAGAGGTGAAACTGCTAACTTCCGGCCTATGGCAGAAGCCCTCTCCAAAACGGCCCGGGAAGGACCTTAGAGTCACACACGTGACACGTAGGAGCTCCCAAGCTGGCTCTGAGAAGATAGCAGTCATTCACCTTTTTTGAGCACTTGCTGTGTCCCAGGCTCTGTGAAAGTCCTGAGGAAGAGCCAGGCTTCCATGGCTGTTGAAGCGCCCTCCTCCGAAGCGGTTGTCTCCATCTGCACCCAGTCCCGCCTTACAAGCCCCTGCCCAGCATATCCCCTGACCGTCTTCAGACCCTCTGCCCTCCATCAGGAGGCACCTCTTTTGGCTGGCCATCTTTCCCTCTGTTTCTCCTGTGTGAGCGATACGGACCCCTTGGGTCCTGCCGCTCCTTTCCCTCCCTCAGAGCTCTTGCTGTTAGCACGGGGCAGTTCGGGCCCCACCCATAGCTTTTACCTCCACCTCCACTCAGAGCCTTTGGGTATAGAATCTGCCATCCATCAAAACCCTGGCACAAATCAGGCCTGCTCATCCAGCACTCTGTGGAGGTACGGAAGATCCTGAAGGTAGCAAAGGCAAAAGTTCAAGTGGAAAACCAGGAGTGTGGTGGTTTTTTAGAGCTACAATCTCGCAGAGCTTTTCTCACGGGGATGAGAGGACGCTGTGTAAAAGTGTTACCCTGCAGGAAGAGGTATGCACACCACCACTGACCCCCAAGAGTCCCGAAGGCCTAGTTTTAGGGCGAGGGGTGTTGGGCTGTGGGGTCCCATGGGTCTGTGCCACACAGATTGGAGCCCATCCTGTCTGGAGCCCATCTCCTTTGGGCTTCTCACCAGATGCAGCCTCTCTGGCCTTCTCCGACCTGCAGCCCTTCTTCACTGTAGTACTCGTCCACCAGCAGGCCCCCACCAGTGTTTTGGGCAGAGCTGAATGTGGTGACCACACGGGCTGGGATTCCCAGACTCCTCAGCACTATGTGAAAGAGGTGCACAGCGTTAGAGGGAATGGAGAGGCCGGGTGCAGGGAGCAAGGGTGAGGGCTGCTGTGTGTGGCTACAGTTTTCAGTTGTCTCCTCTGGACAGGCTGTCTTAAATGCGAGGGGGTAGTGTAGGTGGAGAGGGGATACAGGTACCGGGAAATTAGAACTGATGCCCCTGAATAGGACCTATAGAGGCTGAAACAAGTCACCCCACATGGAAGGGTGAGCAGGGGAGAGGACCATGAATTTGGACTGAGGTGGGGGTGTGGGGGGCCTTTCTCTGCCAGGGCAGGGCAGGGGAATGTTTCTGGGAGGGAGTGTGGGAACAGAGCTTCCAGGCAGGCCCAGATTTCCTAAGGGGAGAAGGAGGCAGAGACTGTGGGGAGGAGGGGCTGGGACAAGGATCCGGCTTTTTAGATGGGTGTCGGAACCAGTTCTGGCAATGACGAAGTTGGGGAGGCAGCATCCACTTTGGGGGCTGTCCCTCCCGCATGGCAGGGCCGCCACTCTGGAACAGCCCAGGTGACTTCCCTGCTCTCATCTGCTCTGTACCTGTGCAGGCAACAGCAGCCAGCACCCATGCCTGGCCCTCGTACACAGGTCTCCCTTGGCCAGTGAGCCACTGCCGCAGGATGGGAGCGCTGCCCCGGCGCTTGCTTAGCAGGGCCCTCTCCTGGGCAGCCTGGGTCTGCGGGGTGGGCAGGACCTTCTTCTCCTTGAGAGCGTCCAGCTGTTGGGGAATATACAGATGACAGTCTGCTGTCAGGCAGGCCTCGTGGTGAGAGAGGGGCGCTCTGAGGAAAGCCAGCCCAGTTTTCATCCGTGGCTGGCTCTTTTCTCCAATCCTGATAATCTCTTGGCTTTTCTTGCCCCTGTAGAGGACGTTGCTTGTCCTCTCCGAGAGCCCATCACTTCTCTGGAGGAGGGGATCATTTGTGATTTGAGGGCTTCCAGGGCCATGGAGGGAGGACAGGTCTGTAAAGGACTCCCCTGCCTCTCTCCCCTGGAGCCCCTGCCTGGCACTCACCAAGGCGCCCAGGACCCGGGCCACGTGTGCAGGCTGGCTCCACTCCTCCACCTGCTTGTCTACGCCCAGCAAGTCCAGGCTGAGGTCCATGACATCACTTTCAAACTGTAAGGACCACACAGGCAAAGACAGAGTTTCCAGGTGAGGCACACATCCCAAGGACAGTCCCGTAACTCAGCCCTCTTTGCCTTGCTGTCCTCTGTGGGGATTTCTGGCTGCTCGCCTGACCCCTACCCCATGCTTGGCACCTAGTTCTGTGCCTGTTCTGTGGTCAAACTTTCCTGAGGGGTCATGGGTTCCCAGCACTGCTTCCCTCCTTCCCTCCCTCTCTCCTTCCCTCCTTCCCTCCTTCCCTCCTTTTCTTCCTTCCTTTTTTCCTCCCTCCTTCTCTCCCGGCTTTTCTTGTACTGAGGATTGAACACAAGGCCTTTGCACTGAGCTACATCTCCAGCCCTTTTTTCTTTTTCTTTTTCTTTTTTTTTTAATTTTGAAATGGGGTCTCATTGAGTCATTAAGTTGTCCAGGCTGAGCTCAAACTTGCAAAATTGCCTGAGCCTCCCAGAGTGTTGAAGTTATAGGCATGTGGCACCACACTCAAGTTCGTTTCATTCCAGTTTCATTTCTATATAACAAGCTCATAAATGGTATGGGGGATACTAAGGCAGCTCCTCCTCTGGAGGAACCCCCAGTCTAAGACTGGAGATGGCCCTGTGGCCCCTCAGATTACAGAGCTCTAGTGGAGATACCAGTGAAAGGGAGAAACCTCAGTGGAGAGAATTCCTCTGCCTTTTGGGGTCAGGGGAAGCTTTCAGAAGGCCTTGAGAACTATTTCCTGGGGGTCAAGGAGGGGAGCTATTCCCGGCAGAGGGAACACTGAGTCTGAATGCTCAAGAGCTAGAGTGTGGGGTGGTTTGTGAGGAAAGCAAAGCAGTGGCCTGCCTGGAAAGGCCTTAGGTACACATTAGAGGGCTTGGTCTTTGTCCTGTCACTAGAGGACTTAGACGCTAGAGCTACACGGCTTTCAGGAGGACAACTCTGGTGCTGTGCAGTGTAGGGGAAAGGGAGGTGCCACAGGGCTGACGGGCTAAAGAAATGGCCTCCTGCCAGGGATTTAGCTCAGAGGTTCCATTTCCCGCCTTGCAAGCACAAGGTCCAGAGTTCAATCCCCGGTACCAAAAAAATTAAAAAAAAGAAATGGCCTCTTGGGCTGGGGATTTAGCTCAGTGGTTCCGGCGCCTGCCTCACAAAAATAAGGACCCAAGTTTGATCCCTGGTACCAAAAACAAAACAAAACAAACAAAAAAAAGAAATGGCCTCCTGACCAGGGGCTTTTGGACCTGCCAGTTCTGTCTGCCTGAACACTGACGTCATAAGATAGCCACTGTCCCCCTCTGACCCTAGAGGTCCTTAGTACCTGGCCAAAGTCCCAGGGCTCTTCCTGTATGTAGTCAGCTGTGCCCAAGAAGATGAGCCCATTCTGGTCCAACAAGTACTCTCTGCGCTGAGCCTCGTTCTGCAGAAACACGGCATCCTCTAGAAAGAAGCAGGAGAGGACGGGGCTGAGGGCTACCAGGTCCACCCTCCAGTCCAAGTCCAGTTTGGCTTCAGGGCTCCCCTGCCGCTCTGGGCCTAATGCAGACTGAGAAGGAAGTCGCTCTTTTCCTGCTCCCCCTATCCATCCTAGAGTCCCTGGGTCAGTGGCTGTAGCCTTCAAGTTCAACCAGGCTGATAGAAGAAGCCAACCCAAAAGGCCTAGTGGTTCCCAGAAGATGATTGTAGCCAGAACACTGTTAGCCCAAGAGAAATGGACAGCAGCAGCCTGAGAGCTTCCCAGTGGTCTGTTACATCTTTCCCTCAAGTTCAATTTGTGACCAAAAAACAAGTTTCAGAAGTAAAATCGGTCAGTGGGCCAGGGATTTAGCTCAGTGACTACTAAGCACAAGGTCCTGAGTTCGATCCCGATACTGGGGAAAAAAAAAAAGTAAGTGAAGGGTAGGTTAAGTGGATTGAGCAGCAGTCAGAGGAGCAAGACAGGAGGAGAAGGGGTAGGGTGGAGAAAGGAAGTCCAGGCACTGGGCCACTCCCCGAGGATGGAGATCCAGTGGGCCTTGAATGCCCAAGATCTTGTCCCAGTGCCTCCCCACCGCTTCCTTATCTGAAGGTTAGCCTGGGTGTGAAGAGGAGGCGGTGGTTTTGAAGGAGCCATCACCCACCCTGGAAGCTGGGAGCAGGGTAGACACTGGCATGCTTGCTGTCCTATTTCTTGGATTTGGTGGCAGGTGGGATGGAGGCGGGAGACAGGTTCCAGGGAATATTAAAGGTATTTCCAGACCATCTGGAAGGGTGCTCAGGACAACAGAAAGGATAGGATAGTAAAAATCAGGAAGCCCTGAAAAATCTGGGGTCTAACATCAGAGAAGCATAAGTTCAAGAAGCCCTCAATACCTGCCTGTCCTCCCTGAGTCCTCTAGGAAATCCGATAGGCACCACTTCTCAGGGTGTTTGGCCCCAAGCTCTGGGGGCGGGGGTTTAGGAGGAGCACAGGCAGCATCACTGCCTCTTCTTTGTCCCCCTCTCCCCTTTATAAAGTTCCCAGCCTGTGAATAGGGCTCTGATTTATGATGTGACCCCCCCAAAAAAATTGTCCTTTCGAATCTAGCAGAGTCCCACCTCAAGTATGCTGCGGGACTCTCTCAACCTCTCCCAGTCACCTCCTAGTGGGGGCAGAGCCATGGGCTCACTTTGCTCAGACAGATTAACATCGCTCAACATGGCCCCCAAAAACTGAACGTGAAGGTAAGACTCTGGGTACTAGGGTCAAGATGTAGGCTCCCTCTGAAGCCAGCACTGTCCGCTGCATCTTTGGCTGCCAGGACCCAGCTCTGGATCCAGGTCAGTCACCTAGGAGTACACTGAAGCCTCAGCATTGGTGCAACGTGGCTGGAACCTCTTGTTGGTCATGCACAGAAGGGCCCTGGATGCCATTCAACCACCTGAGTCAAAGGGTGCCTGGGTGATGATACTAGGTCCTACTATTGTTCCTCTTGTCTACCCCAATGGAATAAGAAAGAAGACCCAGAGCAGAGGATAGGCAGGGCCACCTAGGGAGGGAGTGAGGATTGGAGAACTCCACCCTGGACAAGAAAGGAAGTAGGAGAGGAAGAAGAGAAGGAGGGTGAAGAAGGAGAGAAAGAGGAGGAGGAGGAGGAGAAGGAAGAGCACCCCTGGCTTCAGGTACCACAGAGAAAGTCAGGGACTAGGGTCCGGGCCTGGGCTGTAGGAAACTGAGGAGAGTCTTCCCTGGTTTTTCTGGTTTCCCAGCTGGCTTAGTAAACCCCATTCAGGCAGTGAAACTCTTGCAAGGCAAAGGACTACCCACCAAGGAGCTGTCTTCCATTCTAGGCAAAGCCTCAGTGAGCTCACAGAATTAAGGTGAGTGTGGCAGGTTAAAAAAGGAAAGACAGAATTCAATCCTCAGAATATAAAGGAATCCTCAATACAGTGCCTCACTGGGTGCTACTTTGGGCAAATCAATCATGTCTACAGGAAATAGCGCAGTGGCAGTCTGAGCTGAATTTTGCCTGAGGTGGCCATGAATTAGGTGATAGAAGGTCACCTGACCCTAGGGAGCCCACCCATAGCTGGTTGAGTTGACAGGTGAGTGTGGTAAAGATCTGAGACCTGAAGAATAGAACACACAGAAGGAGGAACAAAAATGGCAGAGCTAGGCACATTTACTGCAAACCTGATGGAGCTGAAGCTTGGACCCTTACTAAGGTGGCCCCTTCCTTGTGATGGACCTGAGCAATTGAAAACCTTTATCTTTTAATCATCCTTTAAATTATAGGTGCTTCAGTCCCCCAGGAAACCCAAATGTATCCTTGGGACAGACTAAGAAGACCAGAGGGAGACAGAGAGGCCTGTCCCTTGGGCTACCTCATTTTGTGCTTTCCAGTTCTTACTCCTGCACCGTTGCAATCGAGAGTAGCTTTCCAGGTCGTCACAGTGAGTCTCAAACTTCTGTGACCAAAATAGGCTGAGCCAAGAGCACAGTTTGGTGGTAAGACAAGTCTCTTTCATTGGGAAGACCTTGGGAAGCCAGGGGTGACACTAGGACAGGACCCTAGGTCTGAGGAGGCACCTATGGAAACCTAGTGCTGATACTGATCTCGGAGTGGCCGCTCACAGGGAAGCCCAGCTCCAGCACAACCAAAACCAGTCTAGGTCCAAACTCACCTCTGTTCCAGGGGTTAAAGAGCAGCGTGAACTGGCCCAGGAGGTGTTGCTTCCGGCCTAGGACCTGCAGCAGGAGCGAGTAGTGGCCAATGACAGCATCCACAGGTGTGGTCACAGAGACAGTCCAGAAGCTGGCATCTCTCTCCTCCACCTCTGCCCTCCACCACTTTGGATCCCCCAGAGCGGAAACTGGGAAGGTGGCTTGGGTCCTGCTGCCCTTGGAAGCCTGCACCCCTGCAATCATGCAGTGTTGAGTCCATCATTAGGGCGCCGTGGCCACAGCTCAGAGTAAAAAGGGCAGAGGTTTTACCACGATGGAGGAGGTGAGAAATGGTGTTGGAGGACAGTAGGGGGTGACATGAGAGCACAAGTTCTCAGTGTTTGTGGACCTACATATGAGAGGTTCATAGTCTATAAAATGGGAAAATAATAGTGCAGTTGTCCCTCCACATGCATGGAAGATGGGCTCCAGCACCCCACAGACATGAAAACCCAGGACGCTTGCTCACTTGTAGAGATCGGCACAGGATTGAGTGTGGCTTATGTACATTCTTCCTATACTTTAAATTATCTCTAGATTACTCTTTTCTCTTTGTTAGTATGCATTTGCAGGACACAGTGATTCCATTCCTCATGGGGAGTCCGTGCAGGCACACAGCACGTCTTGGCTTCTCCTTCCCCTCCCTCTCCCTCCTGCCACCTCTTGTTCCTAAATTATTTACATACTTTTAAAAATGTGAATGTTATGTAAATAGTCACTAGCCAGAATTATTTACAGAGTAATAACAAAAAAGTCTTTGTGTTCAGAATGGATGTGATTCATTTTCCAGAGAATTCCCACCTGTGGCTGGTCTGCTCGGAGGACATGGTCCCAAGGGGTTCAAGGCTGATCACGCTTGCTCCGTAGACCAGATTTGATGAACAGTGACTGTGATATGTTATATTTAGCCTCAGTTAGAGCCCATTCAGGCCTTTCTGGAAGAGGCTACTATTATCACTTCTATTCTCACTGTGGCACCGAGCACTGAACCTAGGGCCTTTGCACTGAGCTATATCCTTGGCACTTTAAATTTTTTTTAAATTTTGAGACAATCTTGTATATAGTCACTAAGTTGTCCAGGCTGAGCTCAAACTTGTGATCCTCCTGCCTCAGCCTCCCAGAGTGCTGGTGAATGGGGAATGTGTTTCTCTGCAGTTAAAGCCAAACTTTCGGGTGGAAAAATTTTCCCCCATTCCTCTCGAGCATCTCAGAAATTTTCTTTCTTCTCAGTTTTATCACTTATATCTCCTGTCAAATGTAAATGGGATGTTGCTCCGTACACTGAACTTGCTGTCTGTAATATCTGATAAGTGGTGAATTTTCTGGGCCCAAATAACTTGTGCTCTGTGTAACCAATGCAAAGTGCTTAACTCCTACAAGCTCACCCCCTCCTGAGAGTATAACCTGCCCTGCTCCACCCCAAAGTGGGGGTCGGTCTCTGTGGAGGAGTCCCAGACTGACCCACTGATGTTAAAAATAAAACTGCCTGCCGGGCGTGGTGGTGCACACCTGTAATCCCAGCACTTGGGAGACTGAGGCAGGAGGATCACTGTGAGTTCGAGACCAGTTTGGGCTACATAGTGAGTTCCAGGGAAGTCTCAACTACATAGTGAGACTCTGTCTCAAACAAACAAACAAACAAACCAGAAACAAAACAAAAAATCAAACTGTACACTTTGCCTACAAAACTTCTGTGTGCGTCTTCCATTCTCCTGGACCACCTGTCTGTATGTTCTGGCTGGCACTCTGCCACTACACTGGGATTATCATGTGTGCTACCATGCCAAACCTGGAAAGCTGATATATTTGCAACCAAAAGAAACCTCTTGGTGATAAGGAGGGCGTGGTGGCACACCTCTAATCCCAGCACTTGGGAGACTGAGGCAGGAGGATCACTGTGAGTTCGAGACCAGTTTGGGCTACATAGTGAGTTCCAGGGAAGTCTCAACTACATAGTGAGACTCTGTCTCAAACAAACAAACAAACAAACCAGAAACAAAACAAAAAATCAAACTGTACACTTTGCCTACAAAACTTCTGTGTGCGTCTTCCATTCTCCTGGACCACCTGTCTGTATGTTCTGGCTGGCACTCTGCCACTACACTGGGATTATCATGTGTGCTACCATGCCAAACCTGGAAAGCTGATATATTTGCAACCAAAAGAAACCTCTTGGTGATAAGGCTGCTGCATGGGTTGGGAGTCATGGTAAATAATCTTATACATGTGATCTTGTCACATTATCACAGCAGCCCTCCCAGCTGGGCAGACTTTGTAGGGCCAGCCACAGAATGGGTCATTTGCCCCTTGCTTCACTGCAGGGCACTAGGGTCAGAGCCCCTCCTACCTTAGTCCTGGGCCTATCCCACTTACCAGTCTGTGCAACAAGGGCCACCTTCTTGAGGGCAGGCAGCAACAGCTGGACGGGGGACCGGAAGTGCAGGGTGATGGTGAATGACTGCCCCCTGCGTACAATGAGGCGCCGGGAGCTGATGGCCCCCGTGTGGTGCTCCTCATTGTTCTTTGCCACCTGGAAGTCACAGCTCTTGATACTCAGGCCTTTTGCAGAAAAGATAGAAACCATGGATAAATGTTAAACATAGGTAGAAGCAGAGCTGTAATCCCAGCACTGGGGAGGCTGAGGCAGGAGGATTGCTGCAAGTTTGAGACCAGCCTGGGCTACACATTGAGTTGCAAGGCAGTCTGAACTACGCAGTGAGACCCTGTCTCAAAAAAAGAAAAAAGTAAAAGCAGAGATTCTAGAATCAGGCCAGGGTTTGAGTCCTTGGCTTCATTTACTTATCAGTTGTATAACCTCAAGCAAGTAGTTTAACCGATCTGAACCTCAGGGTCCTCCATAAAGTAACCACCCCCTGCGGAGTGGTGGTGAGTAACTGGGATGATACATTTAACACACTCAGGGTCCATTAGATGGGGCTGCTGTTGTTATTTTTACAGAGAACAATATTGACTCTCATGGATGACCTCCTTCTTACCCCAGTTACGTGCAATGGATATAATGCAGATTTTACTCCCCTCCACTCATTTTTTTCCCCCTTAAAATAGTCAGGGAATTTTGAGAACTGGCTCAGGAACTCCAAGCCTGATTCTCTTGTTTTACACATCAGAAGAGAAGGGTAAGGCCCAGGGTGTGGCACACTCCCTGCTCTCACACGCCCTCTGGCCCACAGGCTCACCCAACTGGAGGCACTGTGCAGCCCAGAACATCTCAGATGAGGAGGTGACCCCGAGGTTTGGGACATCTGTCAGTCAGTTATTTTACAGAGGGAGGAAGTACAAAGAACAGAGAAAGTTATAAAAATGCATGTGCAGAGCAAGCCCAAGATAAGGCACAATACTGAAAACAAAGTTTTGTATACAGTGAAGGGCTTGTGCACTTTGGAGGCAGGCGGCAGAACCACTGAGCCAAAAATCCCGGCCCTTTGTGCACTTTCATTCCTTGTCAGCCCAAGGCCATCAGGAACCCCTGTGGGAAGGCAGCCTATGGCTTGCCAGGACTCCTCTGCAGGAGGGAGAAGCTGTGGCTTTCCCGCCTCTGCCCCAAGTCCTTTGCAGGTACAGGATCCTCCTGCTTCAACTCTTCTCACGTTCTCAACATTTCTGTCGCTTTCCTTTTCCTCCTTTTTTTTTCCCCTTCCTCTTCTGGGGATTGAACCCAGGGTCTCATGTGTGCTAGACAAGTGCTCTACCATGGAACTACATCCGCAGCCCTGCAGAGTAGAGGGAAAGGATCAGAATGGAAGGCAAACAGCCCATCTGCTTGGTTTTTCCCTTTGTTAGTGATGGAGCTGACGGGTGATGCCAGAGGTACGCATGCAGGGGCAGAACAGTGCTGAATACAAAGAGCTGTGACAACCTCCCTGCACGTCTGAGCCCCATTCCCCTGTGTGTCCCTTGTGCCCTCTGTCCCTCTCAGCCCGCTGGGGTTGTCTAGGCCATGGCAGTAGATGAAATAGCCCCGGCGAGACTTGGAGTTGGAAATGAAGAACAGCAGCACTCGCAGCCGCAAGTTGTTATTCTCTGCTCTCACCAGCTGGTGCCCGGCCCAGGCTGAGCTGCCTCTGTCTGCAGGGGGAGCCGCACCGGACGGTGAGCATCAGAGGACCTGATGATGACCTGTCACGAGCAGCGTCAGCACAGCCACCCTGGAGCCCACTCGGAGTCTGCTTCTGTCTGGAAGCACCCCTGCCCTTCTCACCTGCTAGGTGACTGCGTACTCATCCTCCAAGGGCCTCAGGCACTGGCCTCTCAAGCTTCCACTGTCTTCTCCAACACAGCTCTGAGCCCACAGTGCTCCCCTTCACTCTTTCCAGCCTTCACCCCATCTCATAGCCACAGCCCATGAAGCTCTCTGCTCCATCCCTGTGTGCTTCCTCAGAGACAGGGTTTTTGTTTGCTTTTTCGTATCTGCATCTTCTGCCCAGTAGTGTTGAACACAATAATTTTGCAGCCAGCTGCTCCATCAGTGCAAGGACAAGAATACTGAGTCAACCCTAGGAGAGTCCTCAGCTGCCCAGTCAGATGCCAGGTGTGGTGGTGCACTTCTGTAATCCCAGCACTCAGGAGTCTGAGACAGGAGGGTCACTGTGAGTTCAAGGCCAGCTTGAACTACATAGTGAGACCCTGTCTCAAAACAAAACAAAAAGAACTTGACAGAGGCCCAAGGTCTCTGCATCCTCCAGATCTAGCCAGTTTCTTGCTTTCTAGCTGCCCCCGTCCCTCTTAGTTGGGCTCAGTGACTCCTACTGTCCCTTCTTTCCTGCTGAACATTAGGCTATGACACCCTCTTGCAGGGTGTTGCTCATTTGTCTCACAGCTGTGCCGGTTACATGATGGGGATCCTGGGATGGAAATAGAAAGCTGTGTTGGCCACCATGATGGTGACTGTGACCACCAGTCTTACCTCTGAGGCCTGCCCCATTACCACACTGCCATCCTGCCCTTGCTGAGGGCTGGCTGGGCTCACCTTGTCCCATAGTTGCAGGCTGCTCTTGTCCTCTTGAGCACAGAAAATGTCTGTCTTGAGCTGCTGCTTCTGGGCTCCCTCTTAAGCTTTCTCCTGGACAGAAAATGCTGGAACACTTCTTGGCTTAAGAATCCATGAGTAGCAAAATTTCTCTTTGCTTTGAGCACCCTGACAGCTTTCTTCTCTCCTACTCCCTCCCTGCTGGTATCTCCAGGATTAGCTGCTGGGAGTAGCCTTTTTAAAATGCTATCTCTTACTACCAGGAGCCCAGGCAAGGGCAGGACTGTCAGGCCTGGAGAGGTGAAAGGGAGAAGACCCTCGGCTGGAAAGCCCTACACCTGTCTCCAGGGGCCTCACAGACTTGCGGGGATGTTATCTGGGCAACACAGGAAGACCCTGGGAAAACGGTGCCACACAGGTGTCCGTACTGGACTCAGCCCTCAGGCCCTGAGCATATCAGAGCTGCACGCTGCTGGACATTCATGGGCTGTGTAGATAATATACTGAGAGAACATGTGTGTATGCATTTCATCTGAGGGAACGAGATAAGGGGCAGAGTTTGTTGGCAGAAGATAAACATCCTAAAAGCTGAAGCCAGGGTGCCACTCTCCAAGACCACTTCGCCTGGGACACTTTACCAGAGAGGGTTTGGCCCTGCCTGAGGACTGAGCCCTGGGTCTTGTCGGTTTCTCTATGCTTAGTCACTGAGGTTTACAAGACCAGGAAAAAGAATCTGATGTCTGACCCTCCTCAGTCTTCCAGAGCCCAGCTTCTGCCTGGCTTCTGAGACTGTGTTGTGACCCAGGCATGCTTGGCACAGCTGTCCTTGCTCTGTGTGTGTGTGGGGGGGGGGCAAGGGAACTGGGGTAAAAGTGATTTTCTTTTTCTGCTGTTTATCCTTTTATTTTATTTTTTCCAGTGCTGGGGATGGACTCCAAAACCTCACACATGCTACCACTAAGCTACATCCACAGCCCTAAAATGTTTGTTACCTATTTGAAGAATCTTATTATGTGAAAAAAATGAGATTGCTGCCTTACCATCTTCCCTCTAAAAAAGACTATTCCTAACTATTGGGAAGTTAGCTAAGTATGTCTGAGATCCCAGCTACTCAGGAGGCTGAGGCAGGAGGATTGCAATTTCAAGGTCATTCTGGGAAACTTATCAAGTTCCTGTTTCAAAAACAAAAAAGTTTTCATTATTACCTAGAAAACATGAATAAATTAAAATGATTAGAGGTGAGATAATTTAGTAAGCTGGCTAGTACCAAAATTATAGCAACCAATAGAATAATTTTTATATCTGAAATGAGTAACCAGTTAGAAAATGTAATAAAGGACTCAACAACAGGTAACAACAAAAGATACAATACCCAGAAATAAGGTTAAGAAATGTTCAAAGACTGTTAGGAAAAAACTTACAAAAGCTACTGTGGGGTGCAAACCAAAACAGGAGTGAAAAAATGGCAGATTATAGCTTGGGAAGGCTGACTCAGTGTCTTACAAATGCCCATTCTTCCCAAGTTGGTCTTACATCTAAATAATAAAACATCAAGATTTTTCTTTGAAACCAGATAAACAGAATCAAAATCTAAAATTATTTTTCTAATATAGCAGTGAGGTACAACCAGCTTTCCAATATGTTGAAACAATACGATACCTCTGTAATTTAAAAAGTCCATCAGCCAAAGCAGAAGCTGCAAGCATAGGCTAAATATGACCCTTCAAATCAGCAGGAGAAAAATAAAGATTCATCAGTCAATTATTCACAGGCCAAAATAACATCTTGCATCACAAACCGAAATCATTTCCAGCTGGATCAAAATTCTAACTATAAAAAATTTAGTTCTAAAGAATATTAGAAAAGATAAGACACTTATTTTTAAATCAAGTTGGGAAAGCCTTTTAAAATATTATATAAAACCCTGAAGCAATAAGAAAAGATTGATAAATTTGATTCCTTAAACATTTTTAAATGGGGAAAAAAATCACAAAGTTAAAAATGTGAAGGAAATTGGGGGAAATGTTTGAAATTCAAAAAGCAAAGCATAGGATGAAGGAGGTAAAGGGAGGGCAGGGAATGGGGAAAAAACAAGAACCAAGATATATCCTGTAAAGGTACAAGATCCCAGTGATGAATGTAACTGTATTGTTTGCTTTAAAAGTACCAATAAACTTAGTGGGAAAAAAGTATATAAACAAACAAACAATAAAAAAAAACAAAGCATGAATTTCTTTGCTATAAAATATGTCTACAGGGCCAGGGATTTAGCTCAGTGGATCCACTGCCTGCCTTGCAAGTGCAAAGACCCAAGTTCGATCCCTGGTACAAAAAAAAAGTCTACAAATCAAGAAAACAGTAATCCAATAGAACAATAGGGGAAAGATATAGTTTCCAGAAAAGAAATGCGAATGTCTCTCAAATACACAGAAAAGATGTTTCACCTCACTTAATATAAATGCAAAATAAAACTATACCAAGGTGTCTTTTTCTAACCTATCACTAGTCAAAGATAAAATGTGAATATTTGACAACACCCTGAGTCGATGGCTGAGAAACACTGACTTTCTCACAGTGGTGGGAGAGTGTAGCTTTTATGGGCTTTGTTTTTGTTTTTTTAACTTAAAAATTTTATTAGTACATGTTTGCAA